GAGATGTCAGAGGCGTGAGTTGTATACATGTTCTTCTGAGGGGTTTCCCAGAGGCACCTGGTTGGACGCTGTGTGAACAGAAAGCTACACTAGATAGGCCTCGGGTCCAATCCTGCACAGCTCTTATTATGCTTTAATAATTATAATTTAGGCAGGCTTCTAGTGTGTGTGTTTGGTAGACTCACCAAATTCCCACTGATTCAACTGAGCCTACTCTAGTTGCAAATTGCTACATTAAGCAACAGGATTTCGGATAACAGGACTGCTGTATGTCCAGTGGCAGAAAATAAACACACAGCAAGCACTCAGTAACATTGCATGGCTTCAACAGTGACCAACAGGTGTCATCATGCTCCACAATAGGAATATACAAAGTTGAAATTGTTTTAGGTAGCATCTCTTTTAGAGATACAGACAATAAGCAACCGTAATAACTAGGCAATGCAAAATAAAGAGACAATTCAATTTTTTTAAAAAACAACTCCCTCTGGTTTATGAATGTGAAATATACCTCTCTGACCACAATTCTAAATGCCAGGAAATAGCATAATATTGTTGCAAAATGTCATGCCTGTGTTGCCAGCAGGAAAAAGGATGCCAAACTTTAAGTAGCAAAGGCCAGACAGAATACTGACAACAACAATGGCAGCAGAAAAGATGGTCTATAGCAGGGGTTCCAACCCCCCGGTCCGTGACCCGGCAGCGGCCCGTGGCCTAGGCAGGACTGGGCCACGGACGCACATGTCCTGCCGCCCCGTGACCGCACTCCACCCCTGCGAACATGCTGTGTGGGTGAGAGCCCCTCCTGTGAGTGCCACTGCATGCATGCATGTGAGTGTGCTCTGCCCCCTGCGAGTATGCCAAACGCAGGCGTGCAAGCACCCCCCCGCAAATGGTGCTGTGTATGAGTGTGCTCCACCCCCTGCAAGTGCACCGTGTGCATGCAAGTGAGTGTGCCACACTCCCTGCATGAGTGTGCCACGCCCCCCCAACTGGTCTGTGGTTGGGAAAAGACTGGGGACCACTGGTTTATAGGATACCCTTGTCAGGACTGGACTGGGCCACGGACGCACATGTCCTGCCCCCCCGTGACCGCACTCCAACCCTGCGAACATGCTGTGCATGTGAGTGCCCCTCCCACGAGTACCACTGCATGCATGCATGTGAGTGCACTCTGCCCCCTGCAAGTGTGCCAAATGCAGGCGTGCAAGCACCCCTCGCAAATGGTGCTGTGCATGAGTGTGCTCCGCCCCCGACTGGGCCACGGACGCACATGTCCTGCCCCCCCGTGACCGCACTCCAACCCTGCGAACATGCTGTGCATGTGAGTGCCCCTCCCACGAGTACCACTGCATGCATGCATGTGAGTGCACTCTGCCCCCTGCAAGTGTGCCAAATGCAGGCGTGCAAGCACCCCTCGCAAATGGTGCTGTGCATGAGTGTGCTCCGCCCCCTGCAAGCACACTGTGTGCATGCAGGTGAGTGTGCCACACTCCCTGCATGAGCGTGCCACGCCCCCCCAACTGGTCCGTGGTTGGGAAAAGGTTGGGGACCACTGGTTTATAGGATGCTCTTATGTGCTCACTACCATTCGCACTTGTTGAAAAACAGCTTGACAGTTGCTTTGTATTTAGGTGAGAAGTGGTTAACTAATGAAAAATGAAGTCAGCTTCTTGGTATCTCTTTGTGAATGGTAAAACAGTTTTCCTTTTTTTAAAAAATTATAAGTCAAAAATCATTTGTCAAACATCCCCAAATTTGGCAGAAAGCAAGAGCAGATTAGTTGCCAAATTTGGTCCTAATCTGAAGCACACTTTAAATGGTATAGTTTTTGTTTGGATTGAGCCAGTTTTTCAAATCACCTTGTAGAATGTTGATTTGCACTGCCGCACAATATCATTTCTGCAATCTCCTGCAGCAACAATCTGCCAACCCTCTGATTGGTTTCAGTGATTATCAAGTTAATCAGAGCCGCAGCTAGCTGCTATTCTGCTTGAAATACTAGCAATTACCCTCATTTAAGAAGCAAACAGAGGCCAGCATTAGCTGGGTGGGAAGAAGCCAATCTTTAACATTTATGGCTCAATAATTTATACCCAGAGGGACCTATATCTTCTCACTGTTTCAGAAGGCCCATTAAAGGGCTTGGCAATTATCTGTTTGCTGTCTTTTGTATGGCTCTTTATTTCCTGTATCCCTGAATGGTCATTGCTGAAGCCATCTAATCTTATTGTGATTGTGGTGTAACATTTTGTTTGCTGGTATTACCCTGCTTAGAAGAGTTCAATATTGCATCTTTCTTTCTTCTGACTAACTTATTGTGTTTCAGTTGTGCTTACTGTCATGGTATCCTCACTCAGAAAAGATATCAGAAAAAGCCGGTGGATAACATTTCAAGCGATCACAGTTTACTTGGGCATCTACTGGCAAAGATGGGTCTCAGAACCACCAACTAGGATGGGAAATCGTGGGGTTCATTCATGTCCTGCAGCCTAGGAACAAAAGCAGTCATCAGCTAGAGCCTCGCCCCGAGAAACCAACAAGCACCACATAAAAGCAATGGCTCATTTCTCTGATCTTTGCTTCCCATAAGCATCTCCTGAGTGCTGAGAACATGAAGGCCCTGTTAGAGCTTCAAAAAGTTACTTATTGGACTTGCGCTCCCAGATTCTTCCAGTTCCCATGGCCAAGCCGGCTAAGGACAGAGATTATTCCTGCAGGCATGGTTTAAAATTGGAATTTCTCCAGGCCTCGCCTTCTACGTGGCTATCACAGCCAATAGATACAAAAAAAGAGAGACTCTACCCTTGAAATTTGGCTAATCTCCATTTGACGTTATCTGAACTAATAGCCATGATTACATCTTACGGCTACAAATTCCAGAAGTTTGTTTATGGAGAAGTGACTTTCTTTTTTTGACCATCCTAAATTGTCCACCCGTCAGTTTCAATGCGCAGTTTTAGCACTCGTCATCCCATGCTGTTTTGAATAAGTGCTTCCGAGCTGCTGATAGACTGTTAGAAGTGTGATGTGTTACAGAATGGGCAGACTTCGGCTGCTGAGATCTACTGCCATTTTTATTAGGACTCTGAAGTCCATCAACGAGACCCAAGCACAAAATAGTGGCTCAGCAGTTCTTTATTGCACCCTGTGAACCAGACATGGAGAGGTGTACTTTGCGTTGTTATAGAATGGGCACTTCTGGGGCCGCACACTGAAATAGTCCAGCAGAGCTGAACAAAGATCGGTTAAAATAGTCCTCTTTTACAGATTTAGGAACGCTGAGGCTGAAATATAATTAGAACAAGGTCAACCACTGCAAACTTAGCTATTCTTTATTAAAATCACTGTAATTCATCCAGAGATCTACCAGTGGCTCTGCCCAATTTACCTTCTGCTCCTTTTCTACTGCTTTGTATGTTGCTCACCTGCCCGAGAGCGGGGCTGTCCAGCAAACAGTTGCATCAGTCTTGGCTCATCTTGTATATCTCACCAGGTTGTTGATGTCGAATACTCCACCCTAAAAGCCGTGGTGCGCCTCTGTGAGCCTTTCCTGTGCGAGACCCAAGAGGGCACCTTCACACCGGAGCGCATGCAGGAACTGCTTGAGTTGAAAGAACATCGGCTGCCATTGCAGGAGCTGTGGGTCGTGTTCGAGGAATCGGGGGAATTTGACCAGACGGCCCTTGCTGTTGAGCATGTCAGGTAGATTTGGGAAGTGGGTGGATGGGGGAGACACCTAGGTTGCGGCTGAATCACAGATTGTGGCAGTAACTTTAGAGTAGGGCTACTAGACTCTTGTATGCATGGTAGCTAGCGGCCATCCTGGTTAGATTGTTCAGGGAGTCGTAGTCCTAAAAAGTAACTTCTCCTTCTGGCTGAACGAGTCACATTGGATCGCATTTCAATTCCATTTTGGAACCGATAAACAGCATCTCGTAGGACAGGTGGCGGGAAAACATCCTGGAAGTTGCATAGTTAATACTTGGAGAAGTCAAGCAGTGCACTTCGTGGTGGTTTCTCACTGCTAATTCTCAGTAAGCACACGCACCAGTTTGGTGGGTCAGCACACACCCGAAATCCAAATGGGGGCTTGTTGATTGCCAGGGAAAAGCTGCAGTGAATTGCTCCATTTGCAGTCACAGCTACGCAGTAGGATTTTGGCTGAACCTTGTCCTCAGTTTGCAGGGTCTGGCTCAGCTGCTGAACTTGCTTTTTTTGTTCTGAAGGTTTTTCTACAAGCACATTTGGCGGAGCTGGGATGAAGAGGACGATGATGACTTTGATTATTTCGTCAGATGTGTTGAACCTCGACTCAGATTGCAAGTGCCTCTTAAAGATATTTTTAAACCTTGGGATTGGGCGGTAGCTTCTGGTTTGAAGGCAAGAAATCACAGTGTTTTATTTTGTTGCACACATGCCTTAGATTTCACTCATATCAGCTGCCCTGGCTTGGAATATTCACCTGCTCAGGCAACAAGATTGTAGGAGGGATGTGCCATTCATTTTTTAAAAAAGTATTATTCAACTCCAAGAATTCCCCGGGCAGAATTCCAGCCTGCAGACCCACAGTTACCGACCCCTCCAGACACATAGTTCTTAGGGAGGCACCCTCTACAGAACCGAAAGAGTTCTCTGAATTTTTGTTGCTGTTGTTTTTATTCCTATTAATTATGTTATTTTGATGTTGCTCTGTTAGCCGCCCGGAGTAGTGACTTTGTTGCTAGTTGGGCAGGATAGACACGTAAATAAATAAATGAAGAGCAGTGAGATCACAACGCCCAGAAAGCAGCTTCTTCTTTTTTGTACATTAATGATGGGAAACAAAGCCAGAGATGGCCATGCAACTTTGGAGACAGGTCTTCATCCAGGTGAGCAAAATGTGAGTGTCTGTACGTAGAGGTCTTTGGGCTGGAATTCCCCGAATCATATCTGGGGAAGTCTTGGAGGATTCTGGGAGTTGAAGTCCCCAAACACCAAATGACAGCTTCCTACTATTTAGCCTGAATCCAGTAAAGGAAGGGGAAGTTGTTCGGTTTGGAAGAGGTTAGAAATTGCCCACAGGGGAAGAGAGAGAACTTGAACAGTGCCCAAGCAAGGAGACTGGACAAAAAATAAGATATTGTTTTTGCAGCAATCTGAGACACAAGATTCGGAATGAAAGACAGATGGAGAATACTACTCAAGGGAATGTGAAAACTGAGGCAAGAAGCGACCTCTGTTTTGAACAGAGATTAAAAGGGTGTGTGTGTCTGTAACAGCGTTCCGCATCTGGTAGCCTTCCAGATTTTTGGGACCACATTGTCCAGCCTGGCAGAGTATTGGCCATCCTGATAGAGGCTGATGGAAATCTCAAACATCTGGAGAGCACCAGGCGGGAGCAAGCTGGATTTTTGCTGTGGGTGGGTTATTATGGGAAAAGGGAACATGGAAGAAGCTAGTTCAGAGGTGGGGCAGGTGAAAGGAGAGAACCACCTAGCAAAACGTAGACACAAGTAAAAAGAATGATAAATGTGCAAGGCATGATGGAGGAAACAAGAGAATCAGGGCGAATGTAGAACCACAGCGAAACTGTGCACAGGGCCTTGAGAGAGGAAGAGCAGTCCACCGAAGGTGTCAGAGGAGTGAGTGGGCAAGAGGAGTATTTGTGGAGAATGCTGGCCTGGCCCCCAAGAGGAAAAGCTGCAGCCGTCTTGTGCTTCACCCTAAAAGAGTTACAAGTGCTCAAAAGCTGTGAGTGGAGATAGGGATGAATCAGACACTTGGATCTCAACGACGCCATCCCTGGGCTTCTAGTTTTATATTAAATCAGTGGCTTTAATTTTCCAAGAGACATGATTTTTCAGTTTCCCAAAACCTGCAGCAGAAAAAGAGTCTTGGTGGGAGAGACCGGGCATGTTGTTCTCTCCCCTACATGGGCACCAGCAGGCCTCTAGATGTCACTGCAGAACTAATCATGGACTTTAGGAAATAAGAAGCCTTTTTTTAGTTCAGGGAATTCCAGCCTAGGTTGATCATAATCAAATGCCTCTGGGTGGCCCTCACAGCCCAGGTATATCAGCTGCCATAGGACCAGAAGCACAGAATCTTTGGCATGCAAACATTTTGGACTCCAGCTACCATCGTTCTTGTCCAGGATGGTTGGGGACCATGGATTTTGTTCCTTCTAACTTTCCAGACTGAAGCCCCAGGCCTGTATCTAGTCGGGAGCCTGTTTCTCCTTCTTCCCAACAGCATCCTGACTTTGAATTTCCAGGTACTATGACATCGCTGAGGATCGGGTCCCTTCCACCCTTGTGGCCGAGTACTACAGCCGTCTTGCCCAGTGCGAGGAGCAATACCGGGCTTTCGTAGATGTGAGGAACAGGCTCTCTGGAGGCGATTCCGATTCCGAAGCAGAAAACGTCTGTGTGGTGGAAGGGATGAAACTCTACGAAAGGATAGAGCACTTGAAACAGAAGCTGAAACTCATTGAAAATCCTCTGTTGAGGTAGAGCAGACCTCTGTTTTTATTTAACGTATTTTTAGATTGCCCTTGGATTTAGAGATTTAAAGACCTAGCCATGTCAAGTGGAAAATCAACCTTGGACAGCAGGGCTTGGCTAGGGGACACTAGGACGTTATTACCCAAAAACCACTTTTTCAGGCTTGGATCGATTCTCTCTCTCTCTCTCTCTCTCTCTCTCTCTCACACACACACACTCTCTCAGAAATGCTACACTAAAAAACAGTAAGCAAAAGTTGTGCTCTCTCTCTCTCTCTCTCTCTCAGAAATGCTACACTAAAAAACATTAAGCAAAAGGTGTGCCAAAACACATTCAAAGCAGTAAGCCACAACAACTGTGCATTTAAAATCCCCCCTCAGGCAATCACTCACTAAGGGAAAGCTTGCCTGCAGAGAAAGGTCTTTGCCTGCTTGTGGAAGGACAGCAGAGAGAGGTTTGTGAAATATGTTGCTCCTTTCGAAGGTACGTGTTTGGCTATCAGAAGCACGCTGGTCTCCGAGCGAAAGGCGCACGCTCATCCGGCAACACCATCACCCATGTTGTGTCTTCCACAATGATGTCCAGCCTCTTAGAGTGTCTGGTCAGGGACAAGCTTTCTCCAGAACCACCTCATGAAGAAATGCAAATCCAGGTACACTGGTCATTTTTTTTTAAATTTTCCTAGCAGGTTTTTTTTTCTCCTCTCCAAAAAAGCGGCCTCTGTTTTTAATCATCATCATCTTTGAGCTGGAAGGGACCCTGGGGATCATTGAGTCCAGCCAGCCCCTGTCAAGGAGGCACAGTGGGGGAATTGAACTCCCAACCTCTCGCTTGCCTAAACCACTGAGCTACCCATTTCCCTGATCACTGTCCGATCACTGGGAATTGGAGCCCATTGGCCAACTCATTCCCTGAAGTATGAAGGTACCAACAGATGGTCTTTCAATTGGATTAATATTTGCAAAGAAAAACCATATGCTGGCAGGATAGCTCATTGGTTTAGGTATCTGGCTGCAAAGCCAGAGGTTGGGAGTTCAATTCCTCTCTCTGCCTCCTGGGAGAAAAGCTAGCCTGTTTAGCCTTGGGCAAACTGCACAGTCCCAGGGTATCCCCAGAAAAAGGGAAGGGTAAACCATTTCTGGGTGCTTTATAACTGGAAAACCCTGGAAAGAGTCACCATAAATCAGAACTGACTTGATAGCACACCAAACCATGTTCCAAAGATGCGGGATGGCTGCTGAATCAGTCATTGCCCATCTGTTAGCTCTTAGTGGCAAGCCTGAGAACAGAGTCTCCGATGCTCGTTGTAAAACTTGGGTGGTTATAAATGTAGGCGGCTCTCTTGGGCTGGAATTGACACTTGTCTGCATGAAAGATTCAGACATCAGCAGAAAGACATTGCTTCTTTTCCTGATTCCACTCCCTCAGTTTTGCATCTCTCTCTTTCTCGCCAGTTCCACCATGATTTACAGTCTGCTATGACTGCTTGCTATGAAGGAGACACAATCATCATCTGCCCAGGACATTACACTGTTGAGGGCAGTCTGTACATTGCAGACTCTGTTTCTCTGGAAGGTAAGAGCTTCTGTTTACAAGCTGTTCTGTTGCTTCTCTTTAAAACAGTGATTCCCGACCTTGACACTCTTGGTTGTCCTGGACTATATTTCTCAGAAGCCCTCATCAGCACAGCCAGCAACCAGAGGTTTTCGAGTCATAATCCATGAAACCTTGGGGTCCCAAGCCTGATAACCTCCATGTTTGAAGCACAGGAGGGAACAGGAACATCCACATTCCTTTTAGATGTTGTCTGAGTTTAGAAAACTTCTAATTTCCTCCTTTAATTCCCCAAATCCTGCATCTTGTTAAAATCTTGCTCCCATCATGATCCCCAGACACTGGCCATTCTGTCTGGGAATGATGGACATTGGAGTCCAACGACAAATGGAAAATTTGTTGTAGGTTTTTCGGGCTGTTTGGCCGCGTCCTGGAGGTTTTAATTCCTAACATTTCGCCAGTCTCTGTGGCTGGCATCTTCAGAGGACAGGAGTTAGAAATCTGTCTCTGTTCTGGTCTAGTTTGTGGGATAGTTGAGTATTTGTACCTGTGGGATCAGCTTTTTGTCCTTTTCGGGAGATTGGGTGATTATGGTGATCAGGGTGTTTTTTGTTATGGCTGTATTGTTGTGTCACTGATTGATAGGTGTTGTTAGCTAGTCTTTTGTCTGCAGTGATCACCAGTCCTTGTGGCTGCGTAGAGTTTGTTGACATTTTTGCAGGCTGTATTTTTCAGTGCTGGGAGCCAGGCTTTGTTGAGTTTTAGACTTCCTTCTTTTTTTTGTTGAAGCTGTGCTGATGTTTGTGGATTTCAGTGGCTTCCCTGTGTAGTCTAACATAATGATTGCTGGTGTTGTCCAGTACTTCTATGTTTTGAAATAGGATTTCCTGTCCAGCTTGTTTCAGGGCATGTTCAGCTACTGCTGATTTTTCCGGTTGTTTTAGTCTACAGTGTCTTTCATGTTCTTTGATTCTGGTGTAGATGCTGTGTTTTGTGGTCCCAATATGTACCTGGCCACAATTGCAAGGTATCCAGCATACCTCTGCAGCAGTGTGCCATAAGTTCCCCATTTTGCTTTTAAAATGTTGTGCCTTTTTAAAAGGCAAGGGAAAGGTGAAGATACAATTGTGACAAGTACAAGTCTTACAGTGGCTGTGCTGATTCTACACTATCACCAAAACTAAATCATGTTCTAGTTGTCCAATGCAGCATTGCTAAAACTGTGTCCAGCCATTTCCCCTTTCTCCTCCTTCTCTTTGACTCTGCTGGGCAGTCCGTTTTATCAGACCACTGTTAAGTCTTAAACACTAAGCCTTTTTTTTCAGTAATACTGAATACAAAGTGTGATGCAAACATAACATCTAGGTAATGATGCTAACTTATAAAGCTCTTTATGGTTTAGGACATCACTGCCTGTCAGAGCTTCTCTCCCTCGGGTCATCTTTCCGTCCCACCTGTATGTCCCCCAATCCATGATGTTGCAGGTGGCCGCTCCAAAAGAGGCCAAGGAGTCATCAAGCAGAAACCAGGCCTTCTCGATAGAGGCCACCCTCCTCTGGCACTCCCTTCCTGAGGAACTATGATTGGCCTCCGCTCTCCTGAGCTTTCGGAAGCCAATTTAAACCTGGCTTTTTACCCAGGCCTTTCCAAACCTCACCCCTCTGTAATGTTTATTTTGTAGCAACTTTATGTTGGTCCATGGTTCGCCATCTTGAGTCTTGGAAAATCAGTTAGACTGGAGGTTTTATGAAGGTTTTTTTGCTTTTATGTCTTTGTGATCTTAATTTATGTTGTATATTTACATTTTTTTCCCTTTGGATGCCCAGGGTATAGTGGCTAGTTGACTAGCTAGGTAGGGTAGACATTTAAATAAATAAATAAAACATCAGCCTTCCCCAACCTGGAGACCTACTGGATGACAATGCCCAGTGTCCCTGTCTTCTTGCTTCAGCATGGCTCCTCTGATATCTTTCGGCTGTAGAGGAGCGACTCTGAGGAATGCCCTTTCATGCAACCCTATAACTCTCCTTGTAACGCTGTTACTCTAGGCAATGTTGCGCCTATGACATTTTCCGAAAGAGCTCCGGGCCCCCATTCAGCTGTTCATATCATAGGCCATGTTTTGCTGCAGTCTTGCCATCGCGCTCCGCAAACGGTTGGCGCTGCAGTCTTGATCCGTATCTTGTCAAAACTCCTTAATGGAAAGAGAGCCGAGGGTTTAATTTCCTGCTGTTTTGGCTCTCTTCGCCCTCTCGTCCCTGCTGTCTTTCTGTTTTTTTTATTTATTTTTTATTATGATGATTTCCTTTTCTTCCTCTCCGTCTCTCGAATGGGTTTTGATTTATACAGATAGCCACGCTCCTAGGCAATGTCCCTGCAGGATATAGGGTTTCAATAAATTTATTTTATCAGTAGGAGCGAGGATAAGATGGTTTGGTCACGCGGGGTGGTATTTATGACAAATCACATCCCATCAGCGAGGTCAGGGGAATGTGAGCAAGCAAATTAAAGCGTACTAGACCAGACATTGCCACCAGCTTTTAAGGAACAAAAGCTTACATCTAGTTTATTCATGGAGTCGACTCAATGACTGAAGAAGTGCCAGGAAGTCTTATCACTTGTGGTTTTTCATAAAGGTTTTTTTTTCCCCTCTACTACCCCACCCCTTTGAAAACCATGGAAGCTAGGGAAATAAAAGCAGTGGGTGACACTTTGATGATATGGGCTATTAATTACGTTGGATGGGTGTTAATGATGCGCAAAGTATGTGTGAAGGAAGAGACCGAATTGAACGATGACGCCTGCAATATGGACCACTTTGTCAAATAGGGAGAGCTGTATTCATAATCATCATCATTATCATTGAACTGCCGGGCTGAAAGGGACCCTGTGGATCATCGAGTCTAGCCCTGGTCAAGGAGGCACTGTGGGGAATCGAACTCCCAACCTCTGGCTCCATACCCAGAGACCTAAACCACTGAGCTATCCAGCAGTTTGTTTAAAGCTTTTAAAACTTCTCCAGTTTGTTACTGGACATCCAGACATTGACCCAACTCCTCTTACCGTATGCTGGTATAGGACAAATAGTGCAAATTTTAGAGGTGAGTTCTGCAAGTTAAGAAATCGCCGTGGACATTTATCAGTTGCACTGTATTTGTTTGTTTCAAAAATAGTTGTATTCTGCCTGACATAGCAATAACAACAACAACAACAACAACCTTTGAACTGCAGAGTTGGAAGGGACCCTATGGATCATCAAGTCCATCCTCTCTCAAGGAGGCACAGGGGAGGGGCAATCAAAACTCCCAACCTCTGGATCTGCAGCGAGAGATTTAAGCCACTGAGCTATCTAGCACTTCAAGCTCTACTCTAGGCAGTTAACAATAGAAAATTAACCCCCCAAACCCACAAAATGAACAGCCATTGACAATGCCAATAAAAAATGAACCAGAAACTGAGTTGTATGACTCAGCCTGTAACTGATAATGCGCAATAGGGCTTTTGCCGAAACTGGACTGCGCGTCTCAGAGGCCTTGACTATTCGTTGTACTGGCTGAGGCAGATGGCACCTGTAGTCCAGCAACATTGGGATGTGTGTGAAAGTACATACATTCCCCATCTCTGAACTAGACCTACTAACATATACTCAGCTCAATCGAACCAAGAAGATACTTCATGGAAAATGGGGTTTCCTGCTGTAATGTGGATGCGAAATGATGCTCTCCACTCATGTATTGTTGGGCGGCCATCATCGCTCATGTAGAGCTTGGAAGTTTTGGTTCAACATTAGGATGGATTTCCCAAAATCCAGAAACCGTGAGTGTTGTTGGCAATTCAATCCATCAACATCTGCAGGGTCTCCGGCTGCCCACCATTAATACGATCTACCCTCCTCTTCTACTCACCACTGACTGAGTGGCTTGGCAGCATAAAGCACAACAAAGCACATAAAACAGTGCTATGCATTTTCTGGAAAAGATGGATCCTGGAGATATTCTACTGCCTGAATTGAGTGGAAATCCAGTCTAGTATGTATGCTTTAGACAGCTCAGACATAATATGTTAAACATAAAGGCATTACCTGCTATGGGTTACTGGGGTTTCCTGCTGTAATGTGGATGCGAAATGATGCTCTCCACTCATGTATTGTTGGGCGGCCTTCATCGCTCGTGTAGAGCTTGGAAGTTTTGGTTCAACATTAGGATGGATTTCCCAAAATCCAGAAACCGTGAATGTTGTTGGGAACTCAATCCATCAACATCTGCAGGGTCTCCAGCTGCCCACTGTTAATACAATCTACCCTCCTCTTCTACTCACCACTGACTGAGTGACTTGGCAGCATACAACACAACAAAGCACATAAAACAGTGCTATGCATTTTCTGGAAAAGATGGATCCTGGAGATATTCTACTGCCTGAATTGAGTGGAAATCCAGTCTAGTATGTATGCCGCTATGCGAGGCACCACTGTATGTTAAACATAAAGGCATTACCTGCCATAGGTTACTTTTTGAGGGATAATATTATTATGTTTTTACATTGTTAGCACTTTTTTTGGCAATGACAAGTAACATTTCTTTGTCCTCCAACAAGTAACTGTCACAGATTGAGTGGTGGGGGCTAGAAGTCTGTGAAGTGTATTTTGTCTGATTTGAATATGGAGGCCAGTCGGCTGTTCCAAACTGCAGCACATGGAACAGAAGCTGTAGAACGGCTTGCAGCTGTTTTTGCAAATTTTGGTTGCATGACCAGTGGGCGGCAGGCACCACATCAAATCGTTGTGGCTGTTTCTGTGACTTCCATTCCTTGCATGGCTACTATCCGGAGCAGAATGTTGGCTTCCCGTTCAAAAGCAGGCAAGGTTTTATTTTGAAATGAATTTTGCGAATATTTTAAGAAAGGATGACCCAGCATCGCACGCTTCCCTTACAGCATTCAGATATGAGGCATAACCCTGTGTTACTCATTTTTAATAAAACAGCCCCTTGCTTTTTGTAGATGGAAGAGCTTTATGATAAACTTTCATCATTTTGAAAATATGGCACTCCTGCATGGGAATGACTTAGTAATTTGGAAGTACAGTATGTGCTCCAAACAAAAGCACAAGTGAAATGTATAGCTTATTTAGTAGAACTGGTTGCATGACCAGTGGGCAGCAGGCACCACACCAAATCGTTGTGGCTGTTTCTGTGACTTCCATTCCTTGCATGGCTACTATCCGGAGCAGAATGTTGGCCTCCCGTTGAAAAGCAGGCAAGGTTTTATTTTGAAATGAATTTTGCAAATATTTCAAGAAAGGATGACCCAGCATTGCACGCTTCCCTTATAGCATTCAGATATGAGGCATAACCCTGTGTTACTCATTTTTAATAAAACAGCCCCTTGCTTTTTGTAGATGGAAGAGCTTTATGATAAACTTGCATCGTTTTGAAAATATGGCACTCCGTGGGAACGACTTAGTAATTTGGAAGTACAATATCTAAAGATGTGCTCCAAACAAAAGCACAAGTGAAATGTATAGCTTATTTAGTAGAACAATATATAGCTGCTGGCAAAAAGGAAATCAAAGAGGGTGCCTCGTGATTGCTGTTGTGATGTAGCCAAAGCTGAAGCACCAGGGCGTTATGAGTAGGAGGGACAGGGTTATCATCTAGATCCCTGTTTGAGTTTTCACTCTTGCATCTACGGCAAGAGTGAGCTATACTGGTGGATACACTTGCAAGAACCATCATTGGATCAGTTGGAGAACCTCCATGGGACTGGACTAGGCCTAGAGGTCAGGCGTTCCCATCCCTGGTACACAAGGATGCCTGCTGAAGGAGAGGCATTCTGGATTTACGTAGACCTCGTTATTCGCTTCTCATTCTTGGCTTGTTCCTCTCACTTTCAACTTACTCAGCAAGTTTGGATGAAAGACTTTCTTGCTGGATCGGCCTTTCGAGCAAAAGCTCGTAAGCACTTAAAAAAACATTCCAGAAAGATCTTGCGGCTGTAACGGTGTCTGTGTTTTCGCCAGCCTTATCATTATTCTTGCCAGCGACAAGCCATAAAAATCTTTACATGCTTGTAAATTTCTCTAAGTGGTTCAGAGTAAACAATTGTGGATAGCTTACTTAACTCAGCATTAAAGCCCCCTTAAAAAAAAACAAACAAACCTCGCCCTGCAAGGTGCTGGGCGCACTCACCTAAATGCCGCAGAACTTCTAAAGAAGTTCCTTGCAAACCGGAGGTTGAATTATGATGGCGACCACTGCGGTGTGGAAGAACCTAACAAAATACGTAGACTGGAAAGGTAGCATTTCCTGTCTCTGAAAATGGATCTTAAATTGCAGCTGTGATACTTAAAGTTGTAATCCAGAGAGGAGGAGAATCCTCGTCTTTGTCCAGATTTCAGAAAATAGCTGGAGAGAAAGAGAGGGGATGGCTGTTTTAAAAGTCTCCCGTGTCTGCATCATTGGCTATTAAGTGGTGGAGAGGCACAGCCACCAGTGGGTGGTTTTTGCTGCCTGCGTATCTGCTTTCTACTCACAATCTCGTTCATAATGAGGATGCTTCATTCATTTGGCTCTTGTAAGGGTTGCTAAGAAGCTGCAGGGAAAGCATAGTGCAAGGGGTGAACAAAGTTAGAGATGCTTTCCCATCGCTTCACTGCCAGCTGTGTTGGCTGAGGCTGGTGTGGGGAACATCAATGCAAGGCCGTCTGGCTTGCGTCTGACATACTGCCTTTGGGGAAGCTGCATTTCTGTGGCACTTCAGTCAGCTGTCTCAGTTCGATGCCCTCCAGGTTGGTCGCACTAAGCCTTTAGCGTGACCCCTTCTGGCTGTGGATAGAGGGAGCTCTGGTTGAGCACCTCTGGAGGAATCCAGGTTTGAAAGGTCTGGCTTAAAGCATGTGAGTAAATCAAACCGTTTCTTAGCAAAACACAGAAGACCCTCTCCTAAATGTTCTTTCCTACAACCCTGTTGAAATAGATTGCACAACTTGAGAAACCTTTCTGGATTACCTCTGTAGCTAGTGCAAACAGCCTGCATGAATCCAGGGGTTTTGTGGGAGTTTTAATCTCAAAAAGTGACTTTTTCGAAGCTCTGTTAGGTCGTTTTCATTAATGCACACATGATTCTGGAAGGGGCGTGAAAGATGCCTTATTGAACCAAGGATTCAACGTTGCAGTCCCATTGTGAAGACACAGAGGAGAAACAGGGGAGGGTATTGAGCGATGTTGCCAAGAATGGAACGGTTGCTAGTTCCGGATGTATCTGCTTTATTCCAAATAGCCTTCTCTGAATAAAGAGCTGTAATCTTGAACGCTCAACAAAGGAATAAGAGCAATAACCCATACAGGTACATATTTTGGAGTACAAATGCACTAGATTATCTTGTGTATGATCTTCTGCCCTTATTATTAGCTGTGTTTTGCCTGTACAGTTGAGACAGAAGATGGTAGCTCCGCTGTTCTGGTCTGCTCTCAAAAATACATACAATAGAACAGGAATTAACAGGGGCTTTATGAAAGTTCCGTTAGCTTCTGAACTGTAGCAACCCACATGTGATTCTATTTCTATCACTTTCTCTGAAGGCTACGGTCTGCCAGATGATGTTGTGATAGAAGAACGAGGGAAAGCAGATGCGTTCGTTGAATGTACAGGAGCGGATGTGAAAATCTCCAGCCTGAAGCTCATTCAGCACGATGCAACGGAGGGCATCCTGAGTAAGTTCCTTGAACTTGGTTTCAGACCTTCTAGACCAAATGGTGCTGGGCTGCTAATAATAGATGTCCAAAAATGCCTGGTAGAAATCATGCACCTGGTAGAACAGCCGCCTTCTACTAACTCAGATTGGACCCAATCCATCAGCCAGTTTTTCTGTGCATGTCTTGCTCTTCATTTCAGGGTAGCTAGTGCAGAGGAGGTGGGTGACGTCAGTTTCCTGTTGTAACAATTTTCAAAGCGAGCTTCCATCCCATGGTTCCCACAGCTGGAAGGGTTTATCTCTAAACCATACGAGCTGCAGGACAAAAGGAAGAAGTCTTTGATTCTTGAGAATTGTCCCTTGGCAGTGACGTCGCCAGGTGTAACTTCTGCAGCGTGACTTTGGACAAAATATAGGTGGAACATTTAGAGAAACCAACGGTGTGTCGATTTAGCTATGCTGCCTGGGACATTCTATGAACTGCAGCCCAAAATCTGGACACCTTGAATTAAAAGTATTTATTTATTGCTCTGTCCACCCACCAGGTCTCCCAAACTAATGTGCAAGCGATACAAGCAGATTAAAAACATTTTTTTTAGAGTCAGCAGTTGCAGACTTCCCCTGTTGAGGAATTACCCACACCCTGATACAGGCCATGTATCATCTTTATTACACTGATACCTAGCTTTCCTCCATGGTGCTCAAAGTAATCCCACCACCTTCCTCCCCATCACAATAACCCAGTCAGGTGCATGAGGATAAAAGAATAAGCCTGTTAGGTTTTACAGCTCAGGGGGTGCTTGAATCATAGAATAATGGAAGAGTGAAGTTGGAAGGGGCTTCCAAGGCCATCAAATCCAAGCTTGAATCTAGTCTTCCCGGTCATGCGCACACTGTTTCTCGAGTTATTCAGTTATACTTAATGGTGCGATTTAGGGGTGGGAGTTAGAGGGTAACATTGCATTGAGGGTATCCTTCTGCTTCTACTGCTGAATGCACAGCTGGACTTCTGCCCTAAATTTCGATCCTGAAAGCACGACTGCTGCTTATCACCACCTGCATTTCTTTCAATCATGGTCCTTGAAGAAAGAATCTCTGCTGGAGATCTGATAATCTAACACTGTGCGTTTTCCTTTTCCTTACTACAGTATTCCTGTTAGCTGTCTATAAAGGTAAAGGTAAAGGTTCCCCTTGACAATTTTTGTCCAGTCGTGTTCGACTCTAGGGGGCGGTGCTCATCCATCTGATAATCTAACACTGTGCGTTTTCCTTTTCCTTACTATTCCCTTTAGCTGTCTATAGTACAATAGTAATAATCATGTGCTGTTAAGTCCATTCTGACTCATGGCGACCCTTTATACTGATTACTAAAAACACCCCAATATGGCAATTTGAGCGTTTGATCTCAAAAGTTTCTCTATTTTAACCGCCCACCCCTTTTTTAATGGGAACTGGTCTCTCCCTGCTTTTCCTTCCTCTTCCCGCACCCCCTTTTAATGGGAACTGGTCTCTCCCTGCTTCTCCTTCCTCTTCCCGCACCCCCCCCCTCTTTCCCGATTTGAATTTGACAATATTGTTGGCTGTGTCCTGCCTTTTGGATTAGGTGCTAATTAACACTTCATCATCGAGAGGTAGATTTGAATAACAAATGTTACATGGGTGAGCAAGATGATTTCAGCACCTTTTGATGTGAAAATATATTCACACACACCCCAGCAGAGTGGGGCTCTTGGGTCACTGTTGGAGAAAAGTGACTAATTGAGTGTCCCCAAAATATTCTTAGAATAACTTTGTTTTTGCCCAAAGTTTGTCCTTGTATAAGTGTTTAATGTGGGAAGTACTTCTTCATGTCATGTATAGTTAGGGTTGGAATTTGTGACCAGAGGATCTAGGTAAATGGAGGCCAGAGAGGAACAGGTTAGCAGTGGCTACAGCTACATGTTGTCCGAGTATGGGATGATCATTCCTTATGTCTGGCCTTTTCTTCACCTCCTGTGAGTGCAGAACTTTGGATTATTTAGGTTAGTAGTGGGAAACAAAGAGTCCTGGGTTCAAATCCACCCTTCCGTGAGTTCCCAGTCTTCCCATGACATGATCGTTTGGTTTTCTTCCTGCTGCCTCTCCAAAGCTTTAGTTCTTGGCAGGAATAACTTTAAGCCAAAATTACCACTATATGGGCATAAATCTGCCCCAAAGTGGGTCCATTTGCTCAGTGCGCTTTGCAGATGTGTTGACTCAATGGCTGAAATCCTGTCACTCAGTTATGCAACTAGTGTAACTTTTGGAAGTGAACTGCCATAAGATAAGAAATTTGAGTAGAGACATCTCAGGCCTCCTGAGTTGCGCAACTTGGCATGCAACCGATCAGGTCTATGAAGATATGTTACGATACAACAATTTACCTCTAAATGTTGCACCATTTGGGTAGCTGCACAGCAGGATTTTAACCAAGGAGGCTACTCTGCTTGGGACTAGCAATAGGATTTTGGTCCCTATTGTGTTTTATTTTGGCCTCATTCTTTAGCCCTTGACTCCACTCATCCCTTGATGAGCCCCCCCCAAGAACCTTTCTGAAAAACTGAATTTGGACTTGGTGTTGAAAGAAGGTCTCCAACTTCAGGACAGACTTTTAATTTGATACTGTATTTTTTTTGTTTCATTTTACTTTTACCCTGCCTTTCTCCTTAAAAAGGCCCAAGGCATCTTACCTCATTGAAAACATGGGTTCTTATGGCATTCTTACCTTTGTGTCTAATGGCCTAATCCAGCTGGCAAAGCTCCCCCTATGGGCTCCCTTCTCTCTTTGGATTTCCAAGGACTTTGGTGTGCCATTGCTTTGAAAAGGTTTAGCCTGCTCCTTGGTGTTAGGCAGATTTCAAAATGGGGAGAAACAATTCCCCCTCCAGAATGCAGTCCGAAAATAGTCAGTGGGACATTGGACAGTAGTCAATAAATCAAAAGTATATTAATGTGTACCTAATGGGATTGCCGGCATAGTAATATATATTTTAAAATATGTTAGAATAAATCACAAATATATTTCTCAAAAAAAACCCCCAAAAACAAAAACAAAGCAAAACACAAAATTAATCCATAACCACGAGCAGCCATTTTATAAATAATCCAGGCCAAATGTATTTAATATTGACTCAGAAATGAGCAACATTCTCATGCTAAGATAATCGGGAGCCACAACAAAATGTTATTGAATGGAATGCTTCTGTTCTCCAGTCCTATCATCCCCTTTTTAGCACATAACACTCCGTTTTCTGACTGGCACACTCGCCATGCTCGGGTCACTGACCACGTTCTGTTGGACTATTGGTGTTCCTTTGCTTTAAGCCCGTTATAAGTTAATATTTCTGCAAATCTCGCCTCCCAGAGCCACCCTCCAGCAGTATCTGGAAAGCTTATTTTGTGGGATCGCAACTCCCAGAATCTCCTAGTCCCAGTTTAACTTTTCTGGCATCTCGTGCAAGACTCCCTAAATGTGTGACCCCAGATGATGGTAGACTATGATTCCAAGAATCCCTGGTCATTGGCCACATTGGCAGGGGCTTCTGGGAGATGAAGTCCAACAATAGCCACTTGGGTTTGGGGACTCTTGGTCCGGCATTTGGAGAACTGCTGTTTCCGAAGGCATTTGCTGATTCGGATAGAGTGTCTTTCCTTCCTAATCGCTTACTGCCTGTTTTTCTCCAGCACTCTTAGGACTGAATGCTAAGGGTTGCAGGGGAGAGAACGTTTTCTTTGATTTGCAAATAAGGAATCACTGTCTGATTCTGCATGTGTAAGGGGGATAATGGCATGAGAAATGGAAAGTCACTGATTTATAAGGCTTCCTTTTTGGGGTGCATGCAACCTGATTGCCCCTTTTCACATGCACCCCAAAATCTCCTTTAATCGGTGACAATTTGCCAGTGATTATGGTTTTTCATCCCTCTTGAGCTGGGCAGCTGTATTACAGCTGCTATCTAGCACATCACCCAAAATCTTTCCGGTGGCTCTTGTAATCTTTTTATGTATGACACTTCACTTCTGTAGGTATTCACCGAGGGAAAACTTCGCTGGAGAACTGTGTGTTGCAGTGCGAAACCACAGGAGTTGCTGTCCGAACATCAGCTGAGTTCTCCATGAAAAATTCTGACATGTATGGTGCAAAGGTAGAAACTAGCATCTTTTTATGTATGACACTTCACTTCTGTAGGTATTCACCGAGGGAAAACTTCGCTGGAGAACTGTGTGTTGCAGTGCGAAACCACAGGAGTTGCTGTCCGAACATCAGCTGAGTTCTCCATGAAAAATTCTGACATGTATGGTGCAAAGGTAGAAACTAGCATGGATTAGGTTACTGAATGCAACACTTCTTAGTCACTTAGAAATAACACCTATTTTCTTCCAGTGGGTTTCCTGGGAAATTGTATTCAAGATTTCAGACCGAATAAAGATAATTGCACACCATTAACTTGATTCAGACTTATGGCAAGCCTTGTTTTAGGGTATAGGCGTGCATATAAACAGTGGGTGCTAGATAGCTTAATTGAATTTATTTGTCCTTTGAGTAGCTCATCCTTCCATGCCATTGCATAAACTACTTTTGACACCCTCTATAAGTTTTGAAAGTTTCATGAGTAGCAATGGGTACGAAGTGGCAGTTTATGCTGGTTTGTTCTTCAGCATAACAGGTGTCCAGTGCTCCGGAGCCCCACCGCCTCCGGTCAGAGGCGATGCCCAGAGGAGGCGGGACTGGGATGCTGGGGTGCTGCCTCTGAGTGGGCGCTCGCTGGAGGAGGCGGGGCTGGGAAGTGTCGATTGTTTGGCCAAATGTGCCCATCTGATGATGCTGATAATAATAATACCAGTCAATGTTTTTTTAAATATAATTTTGACTGTGCCTGGAGTTTTTGAATAATAATAATTCTTGGGTGCTATCAAGTCAATTCTGACTTATGGCAACCCTTTCCAGAGCTTCCTAGGCAGAGAGTACCCAGAAGTGGTTTACCCTTCCCTTCCTCTAGGGGGCACCCTGGGACTGTGCAGCTGGCCCAAGGCCACCCAAGCTGGCTCTACTCACAGGAGGCCCAGCGGGGAATTGAACACCCAACCTGTAGCTCCACAGCCACATACCTCACTCACTGAGCTATCCAGCTAGTCATTAGACGTACAACGACACTGGAAATTGCATGAGTTACTCAGACCTCTCTTGAGAAGATTTTGTGGTGTCTTATTCTCATCTATATTAAAATTATCTGTCTGCTGAGGAAGTCACTGTTCGAAGTCCACCGACGGGACATCTGTTCGAGTTGCAGCCCCCCTCTATCTATCTATCTATCTATCTATCTATCTATCTATCTATCTATCTATCTATCTATCTATCTATCTATCTATCTATCTATCTATCTATCTATCTATCTATCTATCTATCTATCTATCTAT